TAAAAAAAAAAAAAAAATTCAATTTACGAAACGTGGCTTTTAAATTGTATTATAATTTTGGCTTTATTTGCGGTGTTTCCGCCAATTTTTTTTTGGGTATGTGTTATTGCACTGTTTATTGTAGGCTTGCTTTGCCTACTGTTTAAGCTAATGTAATGTAAAATTTATATCTTTTTTGTATCTGTATTATAATTTCTGTGTATTTTGTGCAAGGGGTTTATTGTACAGAGCTGTGGGGGTTTTGTGTATGCACAGGCTAAATTGTGAGGTTTTGTTTTGTTAATGTTATTTTCTGTGCAGGAACTATCTCGTTTTTTTTTTTTTTTTTTTTTTTTCATTCTGTTAGGTGTTTACTGCTCATTGTTTAGGCGGGAAGTTTTATTGTGGTATGTGTCATTGCACTGTTTATTGTCGGCTTAGGTTTGCCTTTTGTTTAAGTTATTGTAATATATAACTTTATCTTTGAATGCTGTATTATATTTTGTTTACTTTGCAAGGGGTCTTATTGTACAGTGTTTTGGTGGGGTTGTGTTTGCACAAGCATGAATTGTGAGGTTTTGACTTTGTTAATGTAATTTTTTGTGCAGGAGCCATCTTGCTCTTTTCATTCCGTTAGGTGATGGAATATCCTTTAGTAAAAATATGAACAAAACATTCAGGATATGTAATGGGGTTGATGGTAGGCCATTGTATTTGCAAATGGCTAATTCATGTGTTATTTTAATTATTTATATGTTGTGCTGTATTTAAATAAAATATAAAAAAAAAAATTAATGGTAGGTTGGGTAGCGTGTTGAAAATGGAGAAAGGTTTGAGACAGGGGTGTCCTATGTCTCAAATTCTGTTTGCATGTATGCAACACCCGTTTTATGGAATGGTTGAGGAAGCAACAACGTTACAGGAGGAGGGTAAGGGGTTCACAGAGGTAGTTGGTTATGTAGATGACACAACAATACTGATCAATGATGTCGAAGGTTTGCGAAAGGTGGAGAGAGTAATGAGGTTTTTTGGAGAGGCGTCAGGCATGCGTGTCAACAGAGCTAAATCGAAATTATTAGAGATAGGAGATTGGGTGGGGGGTAGAATGGGGGTGGAGTTTGGATGGGATGTGACTGAACAGCTGAAAATTTGTGGGATTATCTATATGCAGATGAGCAAGGCTAAGACGAGGAATTTGGAATTGGGGGAGAGAAAGTTGTACAACGGATTAGGAACCTAAGAGCGAAGGATGTTACTCTAATGCAAAGGGCAATAATAAATTCATTGGTTTATAGTAAAGTGTGGAACGTGGCAGTGGTGTATCCTTTACGGGAACAGGAGATAAAGGAGATACAGAGAAGGGTGCTTCGTTATATATGGGGTTTTGGACGAGCATGGCTAAGTAAAGAGGTGGTTATGACGAATGTGCGCAGAGGGGAGTAGGGCTTTGATGCTAGGGCCGAGGTAAAGGCCATGTATGTTAAACAAGGTACGTAGGGGAGGGGGGGGTAAAAGGGGTGAGGGTTGGGAGGGTGATGAGGGATGTACGACGATGGTGGGGAGGAAAGGACTTGATGGAATGTGAGAATATGCTAAGGGTTATGTTAGTAATAGGTGAGGTAAAAAAGCTCAAGGTGGGAAGGTTAGTAGAGATGAGTAGGAAACCAGAAGTGATGCAAGGGGTGGCGGTATACCCTTTGTATGATTGGGGTACGATTTGGCATGATTTCCAGAAACTTAGATTAATGCCTAGGGTAAGGGAGTTAGTTTATAGGTTTGTAATAGGGATTTTAGCGTCAAAGCAGGCTTTGTGTGTGATGGGTTTGGTAAAGGAAGCGAAATGCGAACATTGTGAGGAATCGGAAACAGCTTTTCATGCCGTATATTTCTGTAGGGAGTTGGGGCAGGTACGGGTGTGGCTGGCTAGAGTCTTCAAGTTAATGGGTGGGGGCAATGTAGAGCTCCTGCGTGCCCTAACTTTAGAGGTAAGGGGGGTGTCTGAGGTTGTAAAAAGAGCCATTCTGTACATTGTGACAGATTTCTTGTTTTATTCCTGGGGCTTGAAGGAAAAAGGTGGGGGGATTAGGGTAAGGGCAATTGCGGCAGGAATTTATCGCACAGTATGCAGAAATAAAGTAATTTATGGTAACAGGTGGGCGACTGCGTTCCCGGAGGCATATAGAAATACAACGGTAAGGGGACTCAGTAATTTGGCTACTTAAGTACTAAAGGACCATTTTCCTTTTCTAGAGCGAGTTATGACCATAATGAAGGATATGAAAATGTGGTAGGATTGTCATGAGAGTTGTATGGGAGGGGATGACATGTCAGATGTGGTATAATTGGAGAGTTTTCTTGTGTGTGAATGTTTTAGTTTAACCATGTGTTGAAAGACAAGAGGTCATTGATGATCATAGTTTTAATAAGGTAAATGATCTTTGTCAGTGAGACAACTACAAGAAGGAACACTCAAAACATTGTTAACACACTAATAATAATGTGCTATGTAACATGAGTGTGTATCTTTGTTATTTTAATAGTGTGTTTAGTTTCTCTGTGGTAAGGTGTGGAATGGCTATTTTGTCACCTTTATTATATTGTAATTTTTGAGGTGTTTAGTATTATGTCTTTGTGTATAAAGTTTAATATAGAATATTAATGAGTGTGCAACGAATTGGATTATATGAGAATGTCTTTGTTTATAAAGTTTCATATATAATGTAAATAAGTGTGACATTCTTTGGATTATATGCCTTTTGTGTTGTAAGAGACTGGCTGTATTTTATGGATATAATAAACCCACCTGTATGTACAGGTGTGGGCTGTGTTTAGTTACATGTATGTTGTGTGTGCTGGTTGGGCACTTTGGAGGGGGAATCAAGCATTTACAGTTGAACGTGTTTTACTTATGTATAAGTTTGGTGCTGGGATAAGGAATGTGAAGTTGTTTGTTTTTATTATTTAATGGATCACGTTTCTTTGTTTATGTAACCTAAGTATAGCATACATGTATGATGTGTATTGTGTTTTTTAAATAAAAAAAAAAAATAGCAAGATTAATAAAATGCATCTTGTTTGTGGTAGACAAGTGAGAGTATTCAGTGTTTGCAGTTATCAGGGAGGACACACAAACGTCTACTTAACAGAGCGCTATTATTTTTATACCTGTATATCTGGGTATGCC